GAAGGTATCAGAACAAACTTGTTTATGGCTGGAAAATTCCATTACAATTCTTTAAGCTATACTTAAATCAGTCCTATAGGCTTAGTTGGGTTTCTGCTTCTCATAGTGCTCAGTCAGATGTACTTTAGGGTGTCTGGAAGAATTTCTTCTAATAATATGACAGATCATTGGGAACCCCATAAAAGAAGCGTCATATACCACAGCCTGCAGGAGCGGACAAAATGCTATTTTATATCTAATTTGAAAAATTCATTGGATGGGGGGGAAATAACCAAACAAACAAAACCCCTCCTTTGTATTAATAAAACTGAGAGTTTGTTAAAATTTAAGGCATTTGAACGTGTCAGGGATAGGAGTCCAGAGGCAGAAGAAAAAATGTTCCTGGGAATGAATCCCAATTATATCTCTATGGCTTGGGAAAAGGGCGCAGATAAGTGCAAACAATGGAAACAGTGGTGACAGGTGTAATTCTGTGCAAGGTGGGAAGTTCCATGCCTCCATCCATCACTGAAGAACACTTCCAAATTGAGTGAAGGCTGAGGTTCTTCCAAGGATCCCAAATTCAGTTTCAAATAGATGTCCATTTCACTGTACAAATGCTGGTTGGATGAAAATCTTTGACGTGACAGCACCCTATCGGAATAGAATCCAGTGACATCCAAAGAATCCTCTTCATAAAAGATCAGCAAAGAACTGAAATCCCAAAATGTCAATTGGCATTTGCTAAGGGAGCCCATTACCATTGCTGACCACATGTAAACGAGAGGATAACGACAAATATAATGCAAGATAATAAATCTGCAATAAAAGTACCAAATATACAAAAAAAGAAACTTGTATTTAATATACATTCAACAACAATGAAAAATGGTTCCATACCTCACAAAAATCCCTTCTTTATAGGAAATGCTGTTTCAAGAACAAAATGAAATGTACACAACCCCGAATGTAACCCCAAAGTAACTCCATTCAGAAGAATAGATCCCAGTTTCTGTAACTGGATATACAAAATATTTTAAATAAATTTGCCTAAACAGCAAAAAAGCTCGAATCTTCATAAAATCTTCTTCTGCATCTCATAATATAATAATAATTTTCATCTTAGCTTTAATTTAATGTAGAAGTGGGCGCTTCTCAAACTGGTTGATGCAACAAAAGCTCAAATCTATATATTCTTCATAGTAAAAACATCATTTTTTGCCTTTGTCTTTTCCAAAGTTTTAAAGGCAGTTCAGAATTCAGACATTTTATTGTGATGAAGATCTAGGTCTGATTAGAGGGACAAGATTGGATCCTCATTTCTTCCTAGCTTTACACAACTCTTTCCTTCATAATTTTCAAGGGTGATTTTATATCCACATTTTAGTAGATCATCTTCAGTTCAACTTTCACTGGAATTTCAGAAAATTACAGTTTTTCATAGACTGAATATTAGGAAGATCACATACTTTTAACATGATTGATAAATCAGAAATTTTTAGGCCCTGAACAAGGATCTCAGGTCCACCTTCAAGATTCAAAGCACCTTTTTCTGCCTTCATTTAAATGTACAATTACTTGCCTCCACAGTAGGACACATATGTATGCTAAGATACACAATGGTGTAACCAATATTAATACCTTCAGGAGGGCCCACATGCCGGATAAAGAGACTGATGCTCCCTCCCAACCGCAAATTGGCTCAGCTAGCTTAAGCACTAGACACTTGTGCTTTCCCTCCACTCCCAGAGTGTCCAGGATTCATTCCCCCCAGATGCTCATCCCAGGGGATTGTGACATAAATGACAGTTTATACAAAGTACTGAACTGCTGTCAACCTTGGATGCTTAGGATAAGCTTCCCCAGGCAGGGAGAAACATAATTCACAGTATGGAACTTTGCTCCCCTCTAGTGTCTAGGCCTCGTAACAAGATTTATGAGTCTGCTGCTGCTTTTCAACAGATGGATCTGATCTTTCAACTCGGGCAGTGGCAGTGCACAAATTTGGGGTTATGTCTACAGTGGAGCTGGCGGTGTGACTCTCAACTGTATCTGTTCTTGCTCTCGTCAAAATGGCACATTACAAAAGTATAGCCACTGTATCATGGGTAGTACCAGGCAGTTGCATGGCCTAGCCACCATGGGTACAAATCCACCGGAAGCCAGTGGATACATACTCAGCACATCTAGCCTGTTTGTGCTACCATGGCTACATTACAATAGGGAAATGCACGGGGGATTTAAATATCCCCCGCGGGATTTAAATAAACATGGCTGCCGCTTTTTCCGGCTTGGGGAAAAGCCGGAAAAGAGCCCCCTACTTGCAAGTAGGAATAAGAGATCCTCTTAGGGCTTTATTCCGGAGGATTGCGCCAGTCTGGACGCTCTTTTCCGGCTTTTCCCCAAGCCGGAAAAAGCGGCAGCCATGTTTATTTAAATCCCGCGGGGGATATTTAAATCCCCCGTGCATTTCCCTATTCTGACTTCTCTCATTTCCATAGCTATTACGGGATATGTGGCCAGTGTAGACACAGCCCCCGTGTGCTGGGCTTATGACAGCAAATGCGAGTCTACGTAAGCTGGGAATCATACCCTTAGCTGTAGGGAGAGGTATAGCCTAAGGTTCAGGAGTGCAAGGTTCAAGCCAACCCATTACAACTGGTCATTACAATGGCACCTAAATGGGTTCAATCTGTGAGTGTAAATTGGCCCTGCTACGCTTAAGGGCTGTTGCAGGACATCCAGCCCTTAACCCCAAAAGCAATATTATCTCTAAGGATCAAAACTCAGCCCCGGATCTGTTTCAAGTACCATTCACAATTTTGGTTTGAGAGAGACTTGAAGCCATGCTACAAAAAGGATAGGACAGAACCTTTGCAGAAAGATTCGAACCTCTCAGAAAATCAGTTCTTGAGATGTATATGGACAAAGTGATTATGAACTGAAAAGATACCCATAAATCACATGACATGCCTGAGGAATGCACAGGTGAATGTAAAATTTAAGTCAGTTGCAGTATGTATATCTCTTCCTGAGTTAAGTTTCATTCCTAGTTTGGAATCCAAGCCGTCTGCTCTTGTTTTGGCAAGGTACTTGACCACAAGATAAGGCTACCCAATCTTTTGTTTTGATTTCCACCCTCTTTTCCCTCCCTCCCCTTAAATGGCTCAGCATTTCTCACTGGGATCATCACTCTGCTATCTGCAGCAATGTGTTTAAAATGTGGTCCTGTAAAAATAGAAATCAGGTTTGTTTCTTTGAAGGTAGCATTTAATCCTCATATATTTTGTGATCTTGAAGATTTCAGCTGCACAGATTCAAAACGATCTTGTTTTTCCTGCAATGAAAAGAGACAAGTTCCCATCAGTCATGATTTCTCAGATTCACTCCGAAGTGTACTAACATCTCTTCACTTGGTATAAAAAGTCAGGCACCAAATTTCTGGTCTCAGTAGCTTGAGTGAAACTTTATTGAGATAGTGCCACAGTAAGGGTATGTCTAGACTGCATCCCTCTGTCGACAGAGGGATGCAGTCTAGACATACCCTAAATGAGAGCAGAAGATAGCCTTTAATTCTGAACTAACTGTAACATTTCTAGATATAAAAATTCATAAACTTCAAAATTCCACTGTGAGGTAGAAAGGATAGAAAATAGTAGTGTCTCCTTTATAGGATTAAACTGATAGGCCCTTAGGTACATACACAAATGCACGGCAGTGACAGAGAAATCAAGGTTACGGATTTTATGACCGAATGACAAAGGAAGCATTATGCATTGCTGCACAAAAACACAAAACAGTCAAGAGTGAGAGCAGATTGAGCAAAAAACCGAGAATGAGAAACTCCTGAAATCTAATCCCAACACTGACCCGAATTCCTTTGGTAGGCTTGACCCATTAGGCCTCCGTTCAACAGAACACTTACCATACTTAACAGGCGTTGACCTTTCTGCGCATGAATTGCCCCCTTTCCGAGGGCTACGTCTACACCAGTTTACCTCAGCACTAAACTATGGCACTTGGGGGTGTAAATAAGCCAACCTTGAACAACATACGCTACACTCATGTAAGTGCTCGTGTGCACAGCACTGTGTCACTGAGGTAGACCCAGCTGTTTGCGGAGCTGGTTTTATTATGCTGATGGGCAGTGCAGGTGCATTGACAGGACTGCACTGGTGCAGTTTTGTACTAGGGATGTAATTGTTTAACCAATTAACTGATACGTTTATGCTTATCAGTGATCAGCACTGGTTAAACTCCTCATAGGACTGCTGGCAGCCCAACGGGGCTGAGAGCACCGGCCGCCCCACAGGAGCTGCAGCAGCCCAATGGGTCCCAGAGCACGAGCCCCGTCAATGAGACCAGGAACCCTGGCAGTCCTGTGGGCCTGGGAGCACCTACAGGGGAGTCACACTAGTCCTGGCAGCCCTACAGGGCCAGGAGCTGCAGCAGCCCCAGAGTTAATGGTGCAACTGACAGAAATTTCTATCGGTTACATGGTTAATATTTCCCCCTCCCCATTTTTTACATCCCTACTCCATACATGTAGACATGCCCTAAGTCAGTGGTTTTCATAATTATGTCTCAGGCTCACCCAGGTAAACCGCTGGTGGGCCCATGACATTTTGTTTATCTAGGTGTCCTTAGACATGGTTCATCATTGCCAGACAATGGCACTCAGCTGGGCTGTGAGAAACCCAGGTGCAAACCTCTGCTCCGAATCTAGGTGAGAGCACTAGGCACCAGCCTGCAGAGCCAGTTTCGAGTCCAATTACTCCTGTGGGCACTGTTCCACAATGTACAAATATTTAAATATGCACTGGGTCAAAGAAAGAGCCTGCATCTGCAGCCCAGTGGTTAGGGAGCTTAGCTGAAATGCAGGTAACACAAATTCAAGTCCCTCTTGCAAAGGAAGCATTAAAAGAAAGATCTCCCACAGTCTGGGTGAGTGTCCTAATCACCAGGCTTGTCTATGACATGTCAGTCTCTTGTTTATGAACATCAAATGTTCCACATCAGAACGAAAACAAATCTCAAAACCTCAAAATATGTCCTGAAAAGGAATTGTTATTTTCTAGCCTTCCCTAAAATGTACCTCTCCAGAACATTGTGGATACACCCAAGTTGAGTCTCCTGCAGAGTATTGCACTGACAACACTGTAAATGATTGTAGCTGGTGCAAAGTGAAACACTGATGTAAAGGTGGCAAACTCTAAACAGATGAGGAAATACGTTTTCATTTTGTGTAGAGTGTGGATCTCATTGCCACAGGAGGCTACTGAGGCTAAGAACTCCAGGATACTGGACAGAGGAAAATATTGGCTGGTTTTGAGACTATTGGTGTGTAAAGGCTGAGAATCCCTGTAGCTACTTAAAGCTTTGTGACTCAACACACTGATGAAATTAAGCTTTCATAAGAGACTGAGCATTTATACGGCAGGCAAGAACATCCACAGCTGTACTAGTTAATACTAAAAAATATTTTGGAACGAGATGAATCTGAATTCACACTTTGGAGTTTAAAACCAATCTTAAACTATTATGACCTGATGCATGTGCAGGGTCAGACTTTTCCATAGCTGCACATTGGAGAGTTTCTTGCACATTCCTCTGTACAGGCAGTCCCCAACTTACGCGGATCCGACTTATGTCGGATCCGCACTTACGAACGGGGCTTTCTCGCCCCGGAGGTCGAGGTGGCGGATTGCTAC